CTCAGCACCATAAATGAATGAATGAATGAATAAAATGATATTGTGTACATCTACATCTAAAAATATTTAAAATACAATAAAAAGGGCTGTGGATGTAGCTTAGTGGTAGAGCGCCCCTGGGTTCAGCCCCCAGTATTGCTAAATAAATAAATAAATACTCAAGCAAAACAACAAAATGGCGGGCTGGGGTTATAGCTCAGTAGTAGAGCCCTTGCTGAGTACGTGTAAGGCCCCTGAAATCGATTCTCAGCCCCGCATATAAGTAAATAAAATAAAAGTCTATTGACAACTAAAAATATATTAAAATAAAAAAATTTATTTAAAAAAATTGGCTAAAATATTCATGAAGCAGAGGGTTCATCATACTATTTTCTCTACTTGTGTGTACATTTAAAGTATAATAAAAAAAATGTTTAAAAAATAAGTCAGGCAAGGTGATGCACACTTGTAATCCCAGCAACTAAGGACATTGAGGCAGGAGGATCACAAATTTAAAGCCAGCCTTAGCAACCTAATGAGGCCCTGTCTCAAAAATTTTTAAAAAGGACAAGGAATGTAGCTAGTGATATAGTGCTCCTGGGTTCCCAGTATCATGAAACTTTTTTTTTTTTTTTTTTTTTTTTTTTGGTGCTAGGGATTGAACTCAGGGCCTAGTACATGCAAGGCAAGCACTCTACCAACTGAACTATATCCCCAGCCCACCTACACGAAATTTAAAAAAACATTTTATTTAAAGTTTTAAAAGCAGAGCCAAGGGGGTCTTGGAGCATAACTCAGTGGTACAGAACTTGCCTTGCCTAATATATCTGGTCCCTACGTTCAACCTCCAGCACCACCACAACAATAATAAATTATAAAAATAAAACTGGAAAATCCTGGTAGGTTAAATAGGTAGGTTTAACCTACCTGGTAGGTTTAAAGAGGGTTAAATAGAGAAATACAGCCAAATAGAAGGTATACACACACATATTCATACATGAAACTCTTCCTCTCAGGTTCATCTCCAAGTGAAATAGAGAAACATTTTTCTTCTACTTATTTGGACACCTTTGTCCTTTCAGAAACCCCAAACTTATTATTGTCTTCCTTTTTGTGTGTGTGGTGCTGGGGATTAAACCCAGGGCCTTGTGCATGCAAGGCAAGCACTCTACCAACTGAGCTATATCCCCAGCACTTATTGTTGTCTTCCTATTCCTAAATCTGCTTTGAGGAAGAAATCTGATCATTTGGAAGTTTCCCTGTGACTCTAAATCAAAGTATGCACTTCCCTGGGAATGTATTTGTCTTCTTCATCTTCCATAAATCAAGGAATGGCCTTCTTCTTGGCTTAGAAATTTCAGGAGGGCATGTTTACTGAGCACAGCAAAAGTTCCCAGCACCCTTAAGCAATTTTCCTGCAAGTCCCAAAGGCAAACATTCTCTACTGTTGCTAAACTGACAAAGAACATGGTCTGTGGTTGACCTTATTCCTTGAGTGGCATCTACTAACTCTTACCTCTTGGGCCAGTAGTTGGGAAAGAACAGGTCCTTGGGTGCAGGTCAGTGAGACTGCCATGTCCCTAAAGCTTGCCTTAGTTCCTTTCCTATGGAAGGGAGGGGAGGCCTTGGATTTAAAAAAGATGAGGCAGGGCTGGGATTGTGGTTCAGCAATAGAGCGCTCCCATAGCACAGGCGAGGCCCTGGGTTCGATCCTCAGCACCACATAAAAATAAGTAAATAAAATAAAGGCATTGTGTTTATCTATACCTAAAAAATATATAAATAAAGATGAAACAGCTGCTTCCTAGAAGTTGGCATCAGGGTATCCTACTACTATGAGTAATGTCTTTTTGTTTTTAGTTTTTAATTTCCAGTTTTGTCTTGGTCTTCTCTGAATCTTTAGCCTCCTTGAGCAGTTTTAAGTCATTTATGGCAAGGGGCCTTGGTTCCAGCACCACAAACAAAATAAAAATTTAAAAAATAAAGGAAGGGGTTATGAGGCTGTGGCTCAGTGGTAGAGCACTTGCCTAGCACATGTGAGGCACTGGGTTCGATTCTCAGCACCACATAAATATAAATAAATAAATTAAAGATAAAAAAAATCCACATAATAACAAAAAATAAAGGAAGAGGGTAGGCAAATTAAATTTACCAGTGTAGGAAGATGGCATGACTTAATCCAGACCTGCCCATAAGAAGGGGTAGCCACAAGCCCTCCTCTACCCCTGCAGCCCCTTATTATTCCCCTTGGATAGATATGGGCTAACTCTGTCTGGTTTTGTTTAGAGGACAGGAACTCCTAAAACAGCTGCTTTTGCATTAGGTCAAATACATTTCCTGTTGATTTGATTAGTTTCCTTCCAAGCAATGCATTTATGGAAAGAAGGGAGCTTTTGCAGGCATGCATTTGCACAGGCAGTAAACCTCCTCCAGTCACACACACACACACACACACACACACACACACACACACTTTCTCCCCATCCACCCACAGGCGTCAGTCACATTTAGAATTTGCACAAATGCACACCCTCCCTCATACATCACAATGCACACCCTCTCACCCACCTACACATTTCTTCCACAAAATCACACCTGCTCACATACCCCTAGAAGTGCATTCCTATACTGTGCCCTGAGAGAAAGAGAGAAAGGTAGGAGAGATAGGAAAAGTGAGTGGGTTGTAATCACTCATGAACCAAGCACCCTTGGTGGGAGCTAAAAAGTCAGAAGATCGGAATCCCACAGATCCCCCTGCCCTCCTGTAAGTAGAAATACTGAGAACTGAAAGGGATTCTAAATTAGAAGTGGAGGAAGGTCCGGGCCCAGTGGCTCATGCCTGTAATCCCAGCAACTCAGGAGGAGGAGGCAAGAGGATCAAGAGTTCAAAGGCAGCCTCAGCAACAGGGAGGCACTAAGCAACTCAGTGAGATTCTGTCTCTAATAAAATACAAAATGGGCTAGGGATGTGACTCAGTGGTGGAGTACCCCTGAGTTCAATCCCGGGTACCCCCCCCAAAAAAAAAGAGTGGAGGAAGCATGGGTTGGGGATATAGCTCAGTTGGTAGAGTGCTTGCCTCAAATGCACAAGGCCCTGAGTTCTATCCTCAGCACCACCAATAAATAAATAGATAGATAGATATAAAGAAAGAAGTGGAGAAAGCAGGAACTCAGCTCCTTGTCTCTTGTAGAAAGTATGTTGCTTGGAGTGACAGGCTGTAAGTGGAGAATGCAGCTGCATCAATGATATGCCTGAGGAGCCCACTGGAATGATGGCAAAGGGTAACCCTTGGGCTAGATTTTCTGTCAGCCCAGGAAATTATGAGGTTCCAGGTGAAAGGAGAAAAGGAAGGGGTAGGTTGTTTGAACTCTGGGTTCAACATCCTCCAGGAGAAGTCTTTCTCATGTCAGCTAGAATCAAGAAGGGGAGTCATCCCCTTACAGGAAACTTGAAGTCCCCTCCAGAGAAAAGAGGTGAGGTGAAGCTCTTGAGAAGGACAAGTGCCCAAAAGCAGAGAAGCAGCAGCCTGAGGCCATTCTGGCTTCAACTACAGAGCATGGTCTGCCAGACCAAACTCGGAAGCTATGGATTCGAGAATTGAAGAAGACTTTTTTTTTAGGAAAAGACCCACAGTGCCCAAGAAAATTGGCAAAGTTCAGCCAAAGGGAGACTAAGGCCCCTGCCTTCCAACCCTTGACAGTGCTTCCTTGGTCTCTCCCTGTGCTGCCACCTGGGGGCGCCACCAGCTGGGTTCAAGGCTACTGCCAACAACTATTATTGTTATCTTTAGGATAATTAATAAACAAGCACTGATGGGGCCAAGTGGAAGAAGAAGCAGGCCCCTGCTGAGCGGAAGGAGCAGATCAGGTGAAAAGATCTGCAGTGGGGGGCTGAATGGCTAGTCCTTTCTCCCCAACCACAAACTCTAAGAAAGACTTTGGGGTGAGTTCAGGGACCAGGTAGAGGTGTGGACTAGGGGAGGAGAACACTTGTTAGGCTGGTATGGAACCTGTTCTGCATCTGCTTGACAGGACATCCCATCCCCACCCCTTATGATTACTGGTTATGGGGCAGGCTCTGAGGCAATTGTTCACTCATTTAACAGGCATCTATTTATAGAGTGCCTACTGTGTGCGAGGTGGGCTACTACTAATAATGTTTCATGGGATAACGTGAGGAAACAGTCAACTTCAACACCATGTCCTGGGTGTGAAAGAGGAAGCAAGTTGGAAGAATGACCACTCCCAAAATACATGGGCCATTGAGCTTTGGCCTGTATAGGGTAGCAGTGGGGAGATATATCAGATAATATCTGACAATCATCAAACAGATCTTGAAGAACTCAGGACCCCCATAGCAAGTTGGAAAACACTCTGGGAAACTGAGTTGGAGAAACTGTTTATTTATTTATTTTTTTTTAAAGAGAGAGTGAGAGAAAGGGAGAGAGAGAGAGAGAGAGAGAGAGAGAGAGTATTTTTTAGTATTTATTTTTTAGTATTTATTTTTTAGTATTTGGCGGACACAACATCTTTGTCTGTATGTGGTGCTGAGGATCGAACCCGGGCCGCACGCATGCCAGGCGAGCGCGCTACCGCTTGAGCCACATCCCCAGCCCACTGTTTATTTTTGAGTAGGGTTATACTTGGAGGATAAAGAGTGGGAATAGAGCACGAATATGAAGAATTTGGATGAAGGGCTCAATGAAAGAGGTACAGCAGATCCGGGGAAAGGGGCAGCTGTTGATTGGGAGTGTCTAGTATGTAATTTATGCCCTGAGAGGGCAAGTGCTAGTCTCTGGGTCAGAGTTTGGGCTTAAGTTAGGGTGTGGTAGGAGCTTCGGAGGAAATTTTCAGAGTAGGGTCTGTAGTGTAGAGCGGAAGAGGCTACCAGAGTGTTTAGGGAAAGGAGGGGCGTGGCCCGCGTGCCTATCCAGGGACCAAGTCAGAACCTGAGGATCGGCATTGGAGTAGCTGGGGCCGGGGGCGCTGGCGGGCCTGGGAGGTCTGGAGGTGGGGGCGGGCCAGAGGTCCGGCGACAGTGCCGGAGTTAGCCATCCGCCCCAGCCACCGGAGCTCCGCGGGGGGGCGGTAGGAGCTCGGGCTGCCGGCGGGTCGGGAGGAGGCGGTGGCTAGGAGAAGAACATGAATCAGCGGCAGCAGCGACGGCGACGGCGGCTGTGGAAAGAGCGCCGTGGCCCAGGAGCGGCCCCGGGGACCCCGCGTTGCTGACGGCTGCGGCGACTCCCGGTCGACGCGGGTCTCAGAGGCACTGGCCCAGCGCCGCCCCCCGGGCGGGCCCCAGCTCTTCCCGCGGCCCTCCTCCTCCTCCTCCTCCTCTTCCTTCTTCCCTTCCCTCCTCTCCACGCTCCCGGGCCGGGCCCGGCATGGTGCGGCGTCGCCGCCGATGGCGCTGAGGCGGAGCATGGGGCGGCCGGAGCTCCCGCCGCTGCCGCTGCCGCCGCCGCTGCTGCTCCTGCTCCTGCTGGTGGGTCTGGCCTCTCTGCTGCTCCCGGAGTCGGCGGCCGCAGGTAGGGTCTGGCTCGGGATGTGGCGGAAAGCGGGAGACAGCGGAGGGGCGCGGCTGGGGGTCGGAGCCCAAGAACCACATTGAGGGAGACCCGGGCCTCGTGAGCAGTAGACTTGGGTTAGGGGGCCGGAGCTGGAGGGCCAAGGTTTGGGGCGCAGCCGTGTGTTTGCTGCCAGATCTCCAGTCGGGGTCCCCGCCCCCAACTTTCTAGTACCCAGAGCTCTTCTGGCGGGGTGAAGGGAGTGGGGTGTGGGGTGTGTGGTCAGCAGGGGTATTTGGAACTGGATTTTCCCGCCTGCATGTTCCTAGTTGTTTGCTTCCCTTCCCCAGTTTTGGAGACTTAGTTCTGTCCGCCACACACACGAAGGTCCCACTCTGAAACCACAGGGTCTGGGGCTGAGCACCCAAGGGAAGGGGCACCCGCCTATCATTTAGATACAGCCTACCATTTAGATACAGAGGGTGTGAAGGTGCCGGGTCACAAAATACATCTGGTCATATACACTCTAGCTCCTGTGCTCTCAGGGCTTCCTGAAACGCAGAATGTTGGATGGCTTGGGCTGGGGCAAGGGTTCTGGTCTTTATGGGATTTAGCCTTGTGTTCCCTCTTAGCCTCTTAGGCATTTGCTAATTGTGGGAGTACTCCATGCTACACCTTGCTTCCCAAGTTCTCAGTGCACACCTCTAGACTGCTGGGAGTATGGGGAGTGTGAGGCTATCTCTCCTTGTCCTGTGACTGATGCTGGATGAAGGGAGTATAATAGAGACACAGGCCAGGGCAGCAGCCACTGGGCTGGCACCTTCTCTTGAGACATTTCCTGCCTTATCAGTCTCTTAGAGGAGGGAAGGGATGGGAAAGGAAGGAGAAGAAGGTGACAAGTATTTACAAGCTGAGGCTTAAAGAGTCCAGGAATTCGCCTAGAGTCACACACAGCAAAGGGCAGGAAAAAGCAGGACTGGACTTCACCTCTTCACCTGTCTATCTACTTAAAAATATGCCAGAGGCCAGGAGAGGTGTTTATGTGTTTGTGTTTATGTGCATGCACAGAGGGCAGGTTTCCAGTAGGTGGCCTAGGGGCCTACTGCTCAGGGCCCCATCTCTTCCTTCTACCTCCTACCTTCCTCGCACGCCCCTGCTCACATGCAGGTATTAATAGAGCAGGCGCCTGCCAGGAAGGCTGCCATGTGTTTGATCTGACGTGGTTTTGTGGCCATATGTTCTCCACTTCAGGGAAGCACCCCCTCCTTCCCTTCCTCGGCCTCCCTTCATTTGGCAGGGTGGGGTGCAAGGGGTGCTGGCAGTAGTTCAGGGCTGGGTTGACACCTTGGGTGGAGAGCTGGCATCTGGCAGCCTGTTGCACTGGTTGGGTGTAGCAGTCATTCCCAGGGTATTACCTTCCCCAGAAGTTGACAGCTTCCCACTTGTTTCAGCCCAGATTGCTTTCTTTTTGGTTTATGGGCAGCAGGGAGCTGTGGGGAAGAGGTCCTTACTTAGAGTTGGGGGAAACTTCGCAATAACAGAAAAGGTACCTGGAAAGCTTTCTTACCTCTTCCCCCAAAACAGGTCCAGGTTTCCTGCTCTCCCACATTGTCCTGCTGCCGTTTCCTTGGCATCGGCTGAAAATGAGCCCTCTAATGCAGAAGCTACATTCTGGAAGAGAATGGGAGATATTTCCAGAGACAGGGCAACCTCAAACAGGCTGACATTCTTCTTCCCACCCCTCAGGCCTGAAGCTCGTAGGAGCCCCGGTGAAGCTGACAGTGTCTCAGGGGCAGCCTGTGAAGCTCAACTGCAGCGTGGAGGGGATGGAGGAGCCTGAGATACAGTGGGTGAAGGACGGGGCTGTGGTCCAAAGTTTGGACCAGATGTACATCTCAGTCAGCGAGCAGCACTGGATTGGCTTCCTCAGGTGCAGAGTTGTGGGGGAAGGTGTGGGATGCCATCTTGGGTGTAACTGTGCTCTTAAGGCTCAGGAGTTGGGGGCTGTGCTGAGATCCAGATGTTTGTGGTTTTTATTTATTCATTTTTTCACACATCACAATATTGGTCTCTGGTTTTTAAATTTGACAACCTGTGGAAACTTCTTCCAGAAATGGGGCTGGCTAAATCCGTCAAGTCGGCCGGTAGAGCTGCCCCTCTTGACCTCAGGAAGCAAACCTGTTGTCATGTTTCCACAGCCTGAAGTCAGTGGAGCGTTCTGATGCAGGCCGGTACTGGTGCCAAGTAGAGGATGGGGAAGAAATTGAGATCTCACAGCCAGTGTGGCTCACAGTAGAAGGTGAGGAGGGCAGAGCCACAGGGATGTGTTGGCTTGTAGCAGGTGTTGTCTACTAGTACCATACCTTTGCAGAGAAAATGCAGACGAAGCTGGGCTGCCCCATGGCCCCATTGGGCCCAGTGGTACCAAGCTCTAGTCCACCCTAGACATCAAAAGACCCTACCTGCTAGAGTCTGGGTATCTAAGAATCAAAGGGGCAACTGGGATCCACAGACTATGGAGTGCAGTCTGTTTCATTTATCTGAGCAGCAATTCTCAAGCACCCATCTGAGGCTGGACCCTGCTCTGACAAGTGGCCCTACCAGCAGGGAGAGGGGTGGGGGAGGGGAGGGAGGTTTCACAGCTGCGAGAGCTCAGAGCCTTTCAGCCCTGGAAAACAAAGTGACTAAGAAAGTAACAAAAGGCCCTGAACGGGAGCTGGGGCCTGCCAGCAGAACTCCTGCTATAAAGCTCCCACCCACTCCCTCCCTCTCCGCCCCTCCCCCAGCTCCCTGCCCCCAGCTTCTCCCTTCCTCTGAGAAGAGCTATCAGAGCAGGTCTCGAGGGAGTGTGGGGGCAGGCAGCAGAATCTGCCTCACCCAAGGGGGCTGCAGGGAAGGGATTCCTATGGAAGCTGATATAAAAATGCACTTCTGCCCCCCAAGCTTGTTGCCTGTGCTGCGATTGACCCACTCATAAGGGGCATGTGGGGACCTTCTGCATAGAGGTCTTTGGATGGATGTGAACTTGTGATTTGGGCAGTTGGAGGCTATAAGGTGGAAAGGCTCACTTCCCACACCCCTTCTCTCCCTAGGTGTGCCATTTTTCACTGTAGAGCCAAAAGATCTGGCAGTGCCACCCAATGCCCCTTTCCAACTGTCTTGTGAAGCCGTGGGCCCCCCTGAACCTGTTACCATTATCTGGTGGAGAGGAGGCACCAAGATTGGAGGTCCTGCTCCCTCTCCCTCCGTTTTAAATGTAACAGGTGAGCAGCCTCAGGAGGGGCTTCAAGAAGGGAATGAGCTGAGGTTTTTCATGTAGTGAGCCTGGCAGAGTTGGAATCTGTCTGAATCACAGAGTTTGCTATTGTGAGTGTCCAGAGCAAACCCCTGTGCCTAGATGCGTGAGCTGCACTATTGCTAAGCTCATTAGACAGGTGTGCTAGCCTGGATAGGTGGGCTGATTAGTGGCAATCCTGCTATGTGTACTCAAGGAAGGTGATGGGGCCTCCTTGCCTGGCTCACAGCAGTTTAGGACATGTACAGCTGGCCCTGGGAGATGAATTGTGTGAGACCAGGGGCACCCATCCCCCCCACCCTCCCAAGGGAAGGAGCCAGAAATCAGCCCACGCATTGCTAGGAAGGAGTGTCTGGCAGACACTGAGAAGACAGACTCTCATGCTGCAGAGGAAATGGGGGTAGAGTTAGGGGGGAGACAGAGGCCAGCACAAAGATGCAGGAGCTTCCTCCCCTCATAGCTCTTTCCAGATATTTTCCCGAACAACTATATGTTTCCATACCTCTGCACAATTAGACTCAAAACAGCCACACCTGCACACCAGCCTGGGCCCCATAGTCTGTCACACACTTGTGAGGCTCATTGACCTGTGAAACTGTAAGTTTTTTTTTTTTTTTCCTAGTTAAGTCTTGAACAGGTTAAAAAGAGAGTCTGGGCTTGGTTTCATGGGCTAGAAAGTAGGAGGAAAGGGACTCTGATCTGTCTAGTCCCTATCCATTGGAATCTGGAGAAGAGGTAGGTTACAGGACTTTTTGGAAGGGAGGACAAGGCCTATTCAGAGAGGGGGTTTGGTTCCTTCCCTCCTGATATGCTTGGTTAGGACCCTCAGACAGCCAACCGAATAATAAGCATTCACTAAACTCCTACTGCACACACCACACTGTGCTGGGCACCACGGGGGACTGAGGAAATACAAAGGAAATAGAAGCTACCTTTCCAGCCCCCAAAGAATTCATTATAATTGGGGAGACACATGCATAAGGAACTGAGAACTAATGCAAGGCCAGGAATCTGCAAATATAACAATGACAGGGCACAGAACAAACAAAAGGGCTCTGCGAAGGACATAAAGGAGTGGCCAGAAAAAGGACAAAGGATGCAGCTCTGTGCTATCTGTGGGAGATGGGATTGAGGTGGGAGGCTCCCTATAACATTTCTTAAGTGCTTATTGTGTGCCATGCACTTCACTATAAATTACCTGATTCTCATAGTTCTAGCATTTGAGAGATGAGAAAACAGCCCCATCCAAGCTCACTGGACTCAAAAGTCCTTGTTCCATTCCACCACACCCCACTGTCCAGCCCCTTCCTTTGGCTGGAGGGACTTCTAGGATGTTCAGGCCAGATTCTGAGTACTCCCCTTCCTCAGTCCCACACTGAGCCAGAATTGCTGTTTTGGGGCACTAACTGAGGTTTTCTGGCCCCAGGTGTGACCCAGAGAACAGAGTTTTCCTGTGAAGCTCACAACAGAAAAGGCCTGGCCTCTTCACGACCAGCTATTGTTCACCTTCAAGGTAGGAGTACCAGAGGCAGAGGCAGGTAGATGAGGCCAGGGTCATGCCTGTTGGAGATCCTCATTTGAGGGGTAATTGGCAAATCTCCCATTCCTAGGGGGAGCACCTGAGACCCTGCTGTGGCTGTGATAAGAATAGAATCCTGACGTCACAGCAGATTCCCATCCCGAAGGAGACTCTCTGGGGGAGGGAGAGAAGGGAGCCAGCAGGAGGTGGTCAAGGCTCTAGCCCAACCTTGTTTCTGCCACTCCTGTGGAGGGAATGGGGGCAGGGAGGAGCCTAGCAGATGATTGAGACCAAAGGGCTGGTGCAGTGGAGGAAGGGAGGAGCAGAGGGAGGTAGGAAGCCAGAGAGTGGAGGAGCTTGTCTGTGGCTGCAGGAGCAGCTGCCTATTTCTTCTTTGTAGTTCCCCAGGCACCAGGTACTGCCTCCACATAAGATCTTATTCTTTGGTCAGGGCCTCTTATTTCAGAGAGAGAAGTAACCTTTATCTATAGTTTCCCAATAGGAGCAGCCATCCCCTACTGGTTACTTGATTTGTGTCTCAGCGCTAAGTAGCAGACTTTAGGTTGGGGGTGTCCTAGGCCCTAGAGGGAACTCAAGACTTGACTCCTATACATCCTTCTTTCTCCTCTCATTCTTACTGGGCACTGACTCTTAGTCCCTATCCACAGCAAGGCCTGCAGCCCCCTTTAACATCACAGTGACAAAGCTCTCCAGCAGCAATGCTAGCGTGGCCTGGATGCCAGGTGCTGATGGCCGAGCTGTGCTCCAATCCTGTACAGTCCAGGTAAGCTGAGATGGGCCCAACAGACTTTCCTGAACTGGCCAGGCTCATTCTGGCTGCATGGCACTTCATGACAATGATATCACATTTACTAGAGTTCATAGGGTTGGTCTGTAGCACTATTCAGGTGCTGTTCCTTAGCATGAGTAGCCCAAGCCTCTCTCTCAGCCTTGACAACTTAAAGACTGCAGATTGGCTCAAGCCTGTGCATTCTTTAGGCTGGAAAGCAGATTTGGGGTATCTAGAAGAATTGTGTGTGTGTGTGTGGGGGGGGGCTAGGGATTGAACCCAGGCCTTGTCCTTGCTAGACAAGTGTTCAACTGCTTAACTGAAAGAACTTTTCTTCTGGTGTGAAAGCCTTTGATTATCTGATAGTCTGCACTTTCATGCCCCTATACCCATGCCAAAGAGAACAAGAGGACCAGAAGGGGTCTTAAACCCTGGAGGGTAGAAAAGGTGGGTAAGGTTTTATCACAACCAAGAGACAAAGCCAGCTTACTTATTTGATTTGTTTATTTTAAAGAAATTTACTGAGAACCTTTTGAAACTATTCTAAGCAGTTCCCTGGGCAGCAGGGTTCCCTGCTCTGTGTTCCACCTTTGGAGGACCCCACTCTGGCTCTCCTTTGGTCCTTACTCTGGGAAAAAGAGTCTGAAGAGCCAAGGAGATAAACAAATCTATCCAGATTGTCTATTCTTCCACACCGTACTGTATTCAGCATCTAATGCCCTGACTGCCATGAGTCTGACTCCAGGGCCTGTGTGGGCCTCCTCCAGGTCCATCCTCCCAAAGGTGGAACATTCTATGATATGTACACCTCTAAACCCTAGGGGCAACTATTTGTGTGGAGATGGGAATAGAGCCTGGGTGTGCAGACAACATTGTCCACACTTGTGCATCTGAGTCTCATCATGATGTAGACCCTTGCCTGGTGGCCAGCTCTTTCAGTGCCTCCACACCATGATTTGGGACTGCAAGGATTTGGAAAATTATAAATGTAAACTTGACCTTCTAGGTGGTTTGGAAGCCTTAATTCTTAAGGTATCATGATAGAAATTATTTCTGAGCACAGTGGCACACACCTGTAATCCCAGCGATTTAGGAGGCTGAGACAGTATTACAAGTTTGAGGCCAAGGCTGGGGATGTGGCTCAAGCGGTAGCGCTCTCGCCTAGCGTGTGTGCGGCCCGGGTTTGATCCTCAGCACCGCATACAAAAAGATGTTGTGTCCGCCGAAAACTAAGAAAAAATAAATAAATATTAAAATTCTCTCTCTCTCTGTCCCCCTCTCTCTCTTTAAAAAAAAAAGTTTGAGGCCAGCCTCAGCAACTTAAACCCTAAGCAACTTAGTGAGACTGGGTTGAAATGAAAACTAAAAAAGGGCTGGAGATGTGGCTCTGTAGTAAAGCACCCCTGGGTTCAATCCTTAGTATCAAAAAAAAAAAAAAAAAAAAAAGAAGAAGAAGAAGAAAGAAAGAAAAGAAAAGGAATTATTTAACAGTTTGTTAGTTAGGGCTGGGGATGTGGCTTGGTGTTAGGGTATTTGCATAATGTGCAAGCCCTGGGTTCAATTCTAGCACTGCAGAAAATAAAAGTGTATTTTCTGATTTATAGATTTTTTTCCTTTGCTATTGGGGATTTATTTTAGGAAGTTTAACCACTGAACCACATCTCTACCATCCCCCCACCCCCCCTTTTTTTTTAAGATAGGGTCTCACTAAATTGCTTAGGATCTTGCTAGCTTGCTGAGGCTGACCTTGAAATTATGATCCTTCTGCCTCAGCTTCCCAAGCCACTGGGATTATAGACGTGTACCACGTCCAGCTTGATTGATAATATTTAAATATCTAGTTACACAGTACATGGATCTATTTATTCTCTGGCCCTGAGCCCTCAAAATGTAAAGTGAAGGACTGGTTCAAGTTACCCCTAGGGTCTCAGTTTCTCTCCCCTTGAGAATCTCTGAGACTTTGGGATGGCTTGTGACAATAAGTGGCAAGTGCTCTGGAACACATAAGGATCAAGTAAAGAAGGACAAGATTTTTTTTGGAGTAACTAAGACAGGTTTTCACCAAGAAAGTGACATTTGCACTCTCAAACAATAAGTAGGGCTTTGCTAGGAAGAGCATGTGAGTATCTGCAGCACCATGGAGCTCCAGAGCCTTCTGCAATACAGGGTAGAGACAGGTGGGAGTGGACAGGTTATTTGAGCTTGCTGGTAAACTTAGAGGAAGCATTCATTCCAGTTCCCCTATCTTACCTAGCCATCTTATCTCTTTTTTAATATTTATTTTTTAGTTGTAGTTGGACACAATACCTTTATTTCATTTATTTATTTTTATGTGGTACTGAGGATCAAACCTAGAGCGAACTTAGAGTCTCCCACATGCAAGGCAAGCACTCTACTGCTCAGCCACAACCCCAGCCCCATTCTATCTTATCTTATTGACCTTATGAACTTTCTTCCCACACTAACCAGTTTTCTGCTTTTCTGTAGGTCACACAGGCCCCAGGGGACTGGGAGGTCCTAGCTGTAGTGGTCCCTGTACCACCCTTTACCTGCCTCCTCCGGGATCTGGAGCCTGCCACCAACTACAGCCTCAGGGTGCGCTGTACCAACGCCTTGGGGCCCTCTCCCTACGCTGACTGGGTGCCCTTTCAGACAAAGGGTCTAGGTAAGGGACTTACAGAGCAAGGTTGGCTCAAGTTCTGAATAGAATTGATTGGGAGGGGCTACCTGAAATGTAGGTTCAGGCCTCATTCAGCTGACATTTCCTGAGAGCTGCTGCTGCTGCACACCACTGTATACAGCTTTGCATTTAGTTCTTTGTGGGTGGAACAGAAAAGCAAACTGGAAAAGGTCAGATAATGGAGTGATGAAGAGTGCTCATGGTGGCCAAGGAAAACCCCCTTAAAGAGATCTAAGTGAGGTCTGAAGGATAAGGAAGAAGCCATGTAAATATCTGGGGGGACATCACTGCACAGAGAGGCCAAAGCAAGTACAAAGACAGACAGCCAGGAACTGGCTTGAAGTTCTCTGGCAGTTGGAAGGAAGCTGAGCTGGCTGAGAGAGGACAGTGGTGGTAGGGGTCTGGTTGGGGGGGGGGGTGAGGCAGTAACCATGGTGATGAAGAGGTACTGCTGGGCTGAGGGGCTGCCTGTACTGCCAGTGACTTTTGCTTCTTCCCCAGCAGTGGGTGAGATCTGTCAGCCAGGAGGCGAGCCCTTCCCCAAATTACTGCTCTCAGCTGTTTAGTTCTTGGCGGCTGGTTCCAAAGGTCTACATGAGATAATGATAGTGAGAAGGTTAGGGATTTTATCGATGTTCTCTCTTTGGGTACAGCCCCATCTAGCGCTCCCCAGAACCTCCACGCCATCCGCACAGATTCAGGCCTCATCCTGGAGTGGGAAGAAGTGATCCCTGAGGGCCCTTTGGAAGGTCCCCTGGGCCCCTATAAACTGTTTTGGATTCAAGACAATGGAACCCAGGTAAGAGACAGACCTTTCACTTTTGCAGCTCTCTCCAGTTCCTGAGGCCTTTAAGAGCTTCAGAATGGCTGTCTCCTGCAGGCCTGGGCCTCCCACCACCTCAGGGAATGCCTTTCTCCTCCCCACACCCCACACTCTTCTCTTTGCTGGATTGTGTCTCCTTTTGGGATTGCATCCTCTGGCCACTTTGTATGTAAAGCAGGAAGCACATTCCTGCATCAACTAGGGAATGGTACAGATAAGGCTTTATCCTCAGCCCACTTGCCTCCCATCCCCCACCTGTCCTGAGCCTAGTTTTTGTTTTGGAGAGAACTCTGCTCTGCAGCCTGGAGCAGGAATGTGAGACTCCCAGAAGGGTGCTATCTCGCAGCCCCTACTCTTACAGTACCCTAGACTCCCTGTTCCTCCTTTTTCTGTCCTACCGCCCCAGCTGGAGGCCTTCTTAGTTTCAGTGTGGGCAGGGCTTTTCCTCGCTACAGGATGAGCTGACTGTGGAGGGGACCAGGACCAATCTGACAGGCTGGGATCCCCAGAAGGACCTGATCGTGCGTGTGTGCGTCTCCAATGCAGTTGGCTGTGGGCCCTGGAGTCAGCCATTGGTGGTCTCTTCTCACGACCATGCAGGTGAGGGAGGAGAAGCAGGAGATTAGAGATTTCTATCTAGACTGGTGGGAGGAGGCTGGTGGCTCCTGTTCTCCCAGTAAGTCCCCAAACTCAGTCAATTAGTTTAGATGAGGGTTAGTATTTATATTTAATTTTCCTCCCCTTGCCCCAGAACTGGCATAGAAATCTTTGGTCATACTATAGGTGAAAAAAGCCAGGGCCTGTCAAAGTCCAGGTAGAAATTCTTGGATCTTCATTGGCAGCCTCTTTCACCTGGGCCCTACTGACTTAAGGGAGCCTCTTGACTGGGCCAGGTGACTGTCCTGGGAAAGTTCTAAAGGAACTCATTGATGTCAGTCTAGCTTATGCCACTACCCCTCCCTCCAACAGGCCAGGAGGGCCCCCCTCACAGCCGCACATCCTGGGTGCCTGTGGTTCTGGGTGTGCTGACAGCCCTGGTGACAGCCGCTGCTCTGGCCCTCATCCTCCTTCGAAAGAGGCGGAAAGAGACACGGTTCGGGTAAGGGAGTGTGAATGTGCAGGAGAGGCAGGTGGTCAGCATTGGAGCTGACCCCAAGTCCTGGGTTTTCCTTTAGGCAAGCCTTTGACAGTGTCATGACCCGAGGGGAGCCAGCTGTTCATTTTCGGGCAGCCCGGTCCTTCAATCGAGAAAGGCCTGAGCGCATTGAGGCCACACGTGAGTGGTGGAGGATCATAGGAGGGAAAAATGGGCTGTCTTGTACCCCAATCTGCATTCTTTTACCAACTCATTAGTTTGCCCAATAGACCTGAATGTATTGTCTCAAGTGTAGAACGTGAAAAAGATATACAGACTTAACCTCCTGGGGCTCTTCACCCCCACTGTGGGAGAGCTAAGTTCCTTCTGCTGAGGAGGGGAGGCCAGAGGGCTGGGGTGAAGAAGCAGGCTGAGTTTGGACTGGGAATCAGAATTCTACCCCTTTCTCACTCCCCCACAGTGGACAGCCTGGGCATCAGTGATGAACTGAAGGACAAACTGGAAGATGTGCTCATCCCAGAGCAGCAATTCACCCTGGGCCGGATGTTGGGCAAAGGTCTGTGGTCTGTGCAGGGTTGGTAGGAGTTTGCCTTCTCGGATGAGTTTGGTTGCTCCTTTAACTTAGAGGGTATGGATTTGGGTCAGCTCCTATAATCAAAATATTCTCATTGACTCCTGAGTTAGGGCTGTTAGAAGGAATGGTTGCTGGGGATAGGGAGGGCTAAGGAGCCACTCCCAGCATCCTCTGCTTTGGCGAGAGGCGAGGGAGCCTCCTCCAATTGTTCCAGAATCTGATTATTTTGTGTCCCTATGGAGGATCACCTGGGGAGCAGGGCACCAGGGAGACTTCCTCTCATTTGACTTGGTTCCTAGGAGAATTTGGTTCAGTGCGAGAGGCCCAGCTGAAGCAGGAAGATGGCTCCTTTGTAAAAGTGGCTGTAAAGATGCTAAAAGGTGAGCGGAGAATCATAGTTTAGAGAGAGGTCCTCATGAGGGAAGGTAAAAGGGGTGACAGGTCCTGGAACAGGTTCTGCTTTGGCCTGAGATTTTCTAAGATGAGCTAGTCAGCACTAAATGGATGCTGTCTGTACCATGTGAATAATTCACAAGCATAAACCCACACAAAGATTCATGGCCCAGCATTGCTCTCTGCTATCAGGAGTGACTGTCCTCTGAGTTCACTCTTGGGTGGTTACAACTGTGGTTGGTTGAACTATTGGGCTATTCAAACCAAAGGGAAGACATTCCCAAGTGGAAAAATTGTTGGATAGCTCCACTCCACAAGGATTCTTCTGCTCATGGCCAGGCTGGTTGGGGGGGGGGGGGGGGGGGGGGGGGGGGGCTGTGAAACTCAGGACATCTGAAGGATGAGACCTAGGAGGCTTAGGCTTCAGTTGGAGCTGGGGGCACCTTTATTTCGTCTCATCCCCATTCCCCATTAATTTCTCCCAGCTGACATCATTGCCTCAAGTGACATTGAAGAGTTCCTCAGGGAAGCAGCTTGCATGAAGGAGTTTGACCATCCTCATGTGGCCAAGCTTGTTGGTAAGCAGATTTTGGGAGGAGAAGATACAAAATAGGACTTAAAATATGCTCCTTGTATAGGAAAGAGAGAAGTTTGGCTTTACCTGGTAAGCCAGAGACAAAATAACAAAGAAGGTCCTGATTAAAATCTGACCTTGCTCTAGGTAAGGAACATAGTTTACAGACCCTGTACCAGAGGTCTGGATATGAAGACCGTTCCTATGGGTGGAGAAGGAGAGGACAGGGAAGATTTTTCAGGTATCAGGGAGGAATAGCCAGAGCCATTCCTGAGCAGTTCCCATGCCAGAGTGGAACCCTGGGGAAAGAGGTAGCAGAGCCAGGTTTAGAGGTGAGACCTAATAAGTGGGGACTAATGTAGACACCTGAGCTGCCTTTGACCTGTGCCCGGCTCTTGACTCTCCCTTGTTCTAGGGGTGAGCCTCCGGAGCAGGGCTAAAGGCCGTCTCCCCATTCCCATGGTCATCCTGCCCTTCATGAAACATGGGGACCTGCATGCATTCCTGCTTGCCTCCCGGATTGGAGAGAACCCTTTTGTGAGTGCCTGGGGTGGGAGTGGCTGGGAGGAAACTGATAGGAAAACAAAGCCAAGAACAGGACAAAGACCCTGGGAGAAGGGGCTTGGTAGGCAGTGCTGTTGGAGCTGTTAGGGAGAAGAAAGGGTCAGAGTTTGACTCCATTTAAGGTAGTTTCCTTTGCCCTTACAAAGCCCTGCTGAGAAGTTTAGGCTGGGAAAGGGCCTTTCTGGGAGAAGAGACTTGTGGAGCCCCAGGCTACAGTATTCTTGGCTTTCAGGCTTTCTCACAGTTGTCAAAATTTTCTTGCCTTGGGCAGATCCTCCATCCCCTTTCCTTCCTTTCAGTGATTCTGAGGACAATCTTTAGGCTTTCTGACCAGGGAATCCCATTCATCCTGCCCCACCTGGGTAGGCAGGTCCAGCCTGAGCTTGCCCTTCTGCCTACCAGAACCTGCCCCTCCAGACCCTGATCCGGTTCATGGTGGACATTGCCTGTGGCATGGAGTACCTGAGCTCCCGGAACTTCATCCACCGAGACCTGGCTGCTCGAAATTGCATGTAGGAATTCTGGAGGGCTCGGGTTGGGAGATAGCAGCTAGTGCCAGGAGGAGCCAGCTGACTGCTCCTGCCTGGGACAGTACCTGCTATGCATGGGGGATAGCCTGGAAGCAAAGAAATCCTGGTTTAGTAAGGCTGTGAGTACTGAGGAAGGCTGACCCTATCCTCCAACATTCCTCACAGGTTGGCAGAGGACATGACAGTGTGTGTGGCTGACTTTGGACTTTCTCGAAAAATCTATAGTGGGGACTACTATCGTCAGGGCTGTGCCTCCAAATTGCCTGTCAAGTGGCTGGCCCTGGAGAGCTTGGCTGACAACCTGTATACTGTACACAGTGATGTGGTGAGCAGGGTGGTACAATGAGGCTTGGTGGTAATATGTGTGGTGTGAACTAGCATGTGGGGGTAGACTATACAACCATCAAGGGTCTGGCCAGGTCTGCTTTCTGGGCTTTGGCTGACTAGTTTTGAGGCTCCTGACCCCCAAGATGTGCTTGCCTCAGAGCTATTGCTCTGCCTGATTCCGGAAGCCCAGTGACACTTCCTCCCTAAACTCCCAGTGGGCCTTTGGAGTGACCATGTGGGAGATCATGACTCGTGGGCAGACACCATATGCTGGCATCGAAAACGCTGAGATTTACAACTACCTCATCGGCGGGAACCGCCTGAAACAGCCTCCCGAGTGTATGGAGGACGTGTAAGTACCCTGGGAAGGGGAATACAGAAAGGACAGAGGCACAGAGTTGAGCAGCAGAGCAGTTTCCCCTGTCACCTTTTCCCTACACCTGCTCCCTTCCTCCTTCTTGAGACCCCAGCAAGTCTAAGCCCTCCTGGGCTGAGCTCTCCCCAATGAAGCTACACAGAGCAAGGGAAAAACTGGGCTGCTCCCTCACTCTTTGCATGGCAAAGAGTTTTTATCTTGGTCTTCATCTCCCCTTAAGGAAGTGGAGGGACCTGAGATCCTGGGAACAAGGAACATGTCTCCTTTCCTTGCTTCAAGCCAGGTCCTTGAGAGCAGGGTGGAATAGTGGTACTGCCTACTGTAGTGTTATTCAACCTTGTTGACAAGATGACATGTTATTAACATTAGCCGATCACCTTAGGTATTCTTTCAGATAATCTTCCTCTAGCCCTATGAGGAAGAAACTGTTGTTATCCCCATTTTGTAGATGAGGAAATAGGATTAAAAAGGTTAAGTAACATGGCCAAGGTCGCACAGCTATTAAATGAATGAGTTGGTTTTTTTGTGTGTATGTGTGTGGTTTTTTTGTTTGTTTGTTTGTTTGGTTTTTTTGTAGTTGTAGATGGACAGAATGCCTTTATTTTATTTATTTTTATGTGGCGCTTAGGATCAAACCCAGTGTCTCACACATGCTAGGCAAAGCGCTTCACCACTGAGCTACAGCCCCACCCCTGAATCAGCTGGTTTTGAACCTAGATCCCTGTGGTTTTCGAATATGTGCCCTCAACCATGATATCAACTGTAATTGGTTTGTTCTAGTCTTACTCCCCAATCCCATCCAAGCCAGAATGTCTCTGGGGCCCCAAAGGACCTTTTGCTAGTACCACAGGAAGGAGTCCCCAGTGATCCAGGGAAAATGTGATCCTTTTGTTGCTGTGGGGTTAGACCTCCAGAGGGATAGACAGAAAGGTTAAGCCTAAATAGTGGGCAGTGAATCTGAAGTGCTCAAAGCCTAAGCTATAGTGCCATGCCTGCACCTGAGGGCAGGAACATGGTAGAGCTCGGGGCACGGTGGACACTGGAAGTTCAGGTCTCCCTGAAGCTGCAGCCTGGCTCCTCCCAGGCTAGAACTGGTATTGTCAATAGTGGGTGGGCAGATACTGGCCTTCCACCAGGCAGCCTGGTGGCCAAATGCCAGTTGGCTCCTAGCACAGCCTTGAGAATGTGTCCTGGTTTGGTCATGTATCCCCTAGCCCTGGACCATTCCCACGGCCTGCCTGGGATCTGGCATGATTCTTCTCATTGTTGGGATCCCCTCTCAGGAGGGCTGGTGCAGGGAGTGCTTGGAGCTTTTGTCCTGAACATAGACAAGAAAGTCAGACATTTGCTCTGGTTGTGGTCTCAGCCCCTTCCCATTAGGTTTTATGAAGGTTTTTGCTGCTGTTGTTATTTTCCCTTGCCTCAGTCATTGCTTAGGCTTCAGGGAATCTGTAAGACTTCTGAAATAGTATGCAAAAAATATTCCTGCCAAGGCACAGGGGGCTAAGAAGCTTTTCTCAGATTCTCAAAGGTATCCACATACAATGAAGATTTCAGAATACCTGAGTGATTGTTGCCTAATGAGGACTTGAGTGTTCAAATGCACCCCATAAAAATAACCCTGATGCTGGGCATGGTGGCATGTGCCTGTAAGGCCAGCTACTCTTAAGACCTGCCTGAACAACTTTGTGAGACCCTGCCTCAAAATAAAATAAAACAAAAAGGGCTGAGGATGTAGCTCAATGGCAGAGCATTTGCTTAGCATGCAGGAGGCCCTGGGTTCTACCCCCAGCAGCACCAAAAAAAAAAAAAAAAAAACAACTCTCTCTGAAAGACAAAAACATTATTCTTAGTACTGCCTCCCAAGGCAGCTTAGGAGGAACTTTTGGAGCCACCCATATGCTTCATTTCTGTGTGACCTTGTTAAGGTTCTCAATCTCTCTGTGCTTTAGTATCCACATTTGCAGGGTAGGGATTGCTTTATTTCATAGATGTTGTGAGAACTGAATAATTTAGTAAGTGTAAAATACTAGAAGAGTGCCTGATACATAGTAAGCCCTATATACATAATTTTTTTTTTAATCCCAGTGCCATATGATTAAGGGACCTCTGCTTTTGAAAGAAGGGCCACTATCTCCCTTCACCTTTCTCTCCACCCCAGGTATGATCTCATGTACCAGTGCTGGAGTGCTGACCCAAAGCAGCGCCCAAGCTTCACATGTCTGCGAATGGAACTGGAAAACATCCTAGGCCACCTATCTGTCCTGTCCGCCAGCCAGGACCCCTTGTACATCAACATTGAGAGAGCTGAGCAACCTACTGAGGAAGGCAGCCTGGAGCTGCCCTGTAGGGATCAGCCCAGCAGCAGAGCTGGGGATATCAGTGGCATGGGGGCAGTGGGTGCCACCTCCAGTGACTATCGGTACATCCTCAGCCCTGGAGGACTGGCCGAGCTGCCTGTACAGGCAGACCAGCAGCCAGAGAGCCCCCTCAATGAGGCCCAGAGGCTGCTGCTGCTGCAGCAAGGGCTACTGCCCCACAGTAGCTGTTAGCCCACAGGCAGAGGGCATCCGGGGCCATCTGGCTGGCTCTGCTAGCCACTGTGCTGCTGACTAAGCCCTATCTGACCCCAGCCCCAGGCAGCAAGGTGTGGAGGCTCCTGTGGTAGCCCTCCCAAGCTGTGCTGGCACCTGGACTGACCAAATCGCCCAATCCCAGTTCTTCCTGCAACCACTCCATGGCCGGCCTGGCATTAGTTCAGGCATTGGCTTGGAGGAGGTGGGCCAGACCTGGTTGCCTGAACCCAGGAAGCTGGCAGGAGGGGTGGTGGTGGTTATGTTTCCATGGTTACCATGGGTGTGGATGGCAGTGTGGGGAGGATAGATCGAGCCCTGTGGGCACCTACCCTCCCAGCTGATCTGCCCCTGCTGCTTTAGTGCATGCATTGAGCTGCCTCCAGCCTGGGGGCTCAGCAGTGCCCACCATTCTTGGGGTTTAAATGCCAGATTTTGCCTTTCCAAGTCAGAGAGATGCTCTTGTACCATTATTCCTTTTTAGGTCAGAGTTGGTAAGGGGTTGATACAGTTGGGTCCCAAGCCCAGTGGCAAAAGATGGTGGGACATTCTCAAGTCTGAATCCTTGTCACCTTACTGATTCTCCACTCTGCCTGTACTGGGAGAGGTATGGGGAGGGTGCTTCTCTGAATTGAGCCTACCCCTCCACGGCATGCTGGAGTACCACAGGCCACCAGGGGCCCATCTTCTTAAGGCAGTGTGCTGATCTGGCTAGAGGCACAGAGGGCTGGCCCAAGAATCCAGGGACAGGGAGGTAGGAAGAGTTCAGGAGCCCTTCTCCAAGCTCTCCTGCAGTCTGAGCATGCTACCAAGTCCCCAGATATCCCAACACTAACAAAGGCAGCTGTGTCTGAGCCCAGCCCTTTTCCACAGCAACCCCTTAGTCCCATCCTCCTACCCTCACTGGACATCCTCTTCTGTCCCAAGTCCCCAGAGAGAAAATAGGCCTTATGGCTGGTATGGATGAGGGGGAATTTCTGGAGCCTGGACCCCAGCCCTGACTGGGGGAGTCTCCTGGAATGCATGGGGCCAGCCCTTGCTGTTAGGGACATTTCCAAACTGTTAGTTGCTGTTTAAAAGCAGAAATAAAATTAAAGACTAAAGAAGTAAGGCCTTGTCTCTTAAATGTTTACTTTTTTTTCCACACCACAAAAATAAGGCATCTCTGCATTGAGAAAAGTTTGAAAAGACACATGCCAGAATGTTAACAGCTGTTATCTTCGTATGTAATTAAGGGGACTTTTTTTCTTTCATGTTTTTCAAGTTCTCTGCATTAAGCACAAAATACTTTTGTAATTAGATAAGACCCCAATGAATTTTACCCATATTAAGGATGATAACACTGTAGACAATTAGGAAAATGCAGAAAATCCTTAAAAAATGCCAGTTACCTATAATTACATCACCCAGTGATAACCATCACTGATCTTTTGAAAATGCAAATTATTTTGACAAAGTTCATTGTTTTGGAATAAAGAGGCTGTCCTCAGCCCTCCTGCCTCTACAGACTTTCTTCTGTCCTTGGGTATAGAAACTTTCACCTTTCACTCTGCCTGGAGCCAAGGGAAACTTCCCCGGAAGTTTCTTAAGAAGGAAGAGTAAGCCTCTTCAGAATTAGAAATAAGGATAGGGGAGGCTGGGGGCATAGCTCAGTGGCAGAATGCTTTTAAAAAAATTTAAAAGAAATAAGGGGGGGTTGGGGTTGTGGCTCAGAGGTAGAGGGCTTGCCTACCATGTGTGAGACACTGGATTCAATCCTCAGCACCACATAAAAATAAATAAAGATACTGTGTCTAGAACTAAAAAATAAATATTTTTTTAAAAAAAGAAGTATGGACACCAAATGCGGAATGTTTTCTCTGATATAAGAAGGCTGATTCATAGTGGAGTAGGGAGGGGGAGAATGGGAGGAATAGTGGAATAGGGCAGGGGGGTTGGAGGGGAAAGGAGGGGGCAGGGGGTTAAAAATGATGGTGGAATGTGGTGGACATTGTTATACAAAGTACCTGTATGAAGAATTGGTGTGAATATACTTTGTATACAATCAGAGATATGAAAAAGTGTGCTCTATATGTGTAATAGGAATTGTAATGCATTCTGCTGTCATAAATTTAAAAATTAATTTAAAAAGAAAGAAGGGCAGTGGGGTTTTGCTTCCAAATACTTCCACCTGAAAATGTTAGTTTTAGAGCATGCTCATGGCAGGAGGCCTGGAAATCATGCCTCTGGCGAGGGGCACATGGATAGTACTGCAGGCTGAGGGCAATGGAATGGGGTGGGTCTTTCTGAAAGCAAACATCCTGAAAAACCTGTTGCTGGTTCTCCTAACTCTAGTTCTCACGTAGATTATGAGACCTGAATTAACTTCCAGGCAAATAGCTTTCAGAATTTTTCATGCAGTGATTAGCTTCAACTACCAGGTGGTGATTATCTGAGATAGCTTTGGGAATTATTGAGACCTTAAAGTCATTGCCTGCAATTAATAGGATATCTATCATATGTAAGGTATGGTGCCTAAAGCTTCACATTTATTGTCTCATTTAATACAGCTTTCTTAGAAATGGAAATATAATTATCATCCTCCAAGAGACAGGACAGAGACATGGAATATACAACTTGTCCAAGGTTACAAAACTAATGAGTGGTAAATCTAGGTGTGAAACCCACAAAACCAGAGATGAGAACCTATGTAATGCCTCCTTCTTACCACTCAAAAAAGCACCTATAATCTCTATGATGATCAGTCATCTTTTGGGTGAACGTAGATCAATAATATGCACCCTTTTAAATACACAGGTGCATACCCATAACCCCAAATTTGAGGTCAGTCTAGGCAACTAAACCAGATCCTATTTCAAAAAAGGGCTGGGAGCTGGGCACAGTGGCACATGCCTGTAATCCCAGCAACTCTGGAGGCTGACGCAAGAGAGATCGAAAATTCAAAGCCAGCCTCAGCAGTGGCCAGGTGCTAAACAACTTGGTGAGATCCGAAAGTTCAAAGCCAGCCTCAGCAGTGGCCAGGTGCTAAACAACTTGGTGAGATCCGGTCTCTAAATAAAATACAAAATAGGGCTAGAGATGTGGCTCAGTGGGCAAGTACCCCTAGGTTCAATCCCTCGTGGCAAAAAAAAAAAAAAGGTACTGGGGGTATGGCTCAGTGGTAGAGCACCTCTGGGTTCAACCCCTAGTACAAAATAAATAAATAAATAAATGAAGAAGAAGAAGGAGGAGAAGGAGAAGGAGGAGTAGGAGTAGGAGTTCTGATATATGTGTGTGAGATAAAATCTAAACTACTGGGCTGGGGATGTGGCTCAAGCGGTAGCAGCGCGCTCGCCTGGCATGCGTGCGGCCCAGGTTCGATCCTCAGCACCACATACAAACAAAGATGTTGTGTCCGCCGAGAACTAAAAAATAAATATTAAAAAATTCTCTCTCTCTCTCTCTCTCTCACTCTCTCTTTAAAAAGTAAAAAAATACAGACATGCTCCAGAGAAATGGCATAAAATCAAGCTATTCTTTAAAAAAATAAATAAATAAATAAAATAAAATCTAAACTACTTAGACAGAAGTCACCTATCAGTAATTAAATTAATGTCAATTATTCAGTCCCTTTTCCTCAAGTATTTTGGCCTCCCTGGCCAATGAGTTTAAGTTCTTTTCTTTTCTAAATATTTTATTAGTTGTTGATGGACCTTTATTTATTTATATGTGGTGCTAAGAATCAGACCCAGTGCCTCACACATGTTAGGTGAGTACTCTACCACTGAGCCACAACTCTAGCCCCTGTTATTTAATTTTGATTCATCTAAAATTTATTTTGGAATAAGAAAAAGTGGGGGGGCTGGGAATGTGGCTCAAGCGGTGGTGCGCTCGCCTGGCATGCGTGCAGTCCGGGTTTGATCCTCAGCACCACATACAAACAAAGATGTTGTGTCCACTGAGAACTAAAAAATAAATATTAAAAATTCTCTCTCTCTCTCTCTCTCTCTCTCTCTCCTCTTAAAAAAAAAAATATATATATATATATATAGAAAAAGCGGGCATGGCAATGTGCACCTATAGTCCCAGCTACTTGGAAGGCTGAGGCAGGAGAGTCCCTCAAACCCAGGAGTCAAACCCTGTCTTAAAAAACAACAAAAAAAGATGGAGTCAAATTTTCCAGATGGTTTACCATTGTTCCAGCACTATTTGTTTATTTAGTGATACTAGGGATTAAACCCAGGTTGCTCTACTACTAAACTATAGCTTCAGTCCTGTTTGTCATTTTATTTTGAGACAGATCTCACTAAATCATTGAGGCTGGCCTTGAACTTGCAATCCTCCTGCCTCAGCTTTCTGAGACTCTGGAATTACTAGCTTGTGCAACCACTTCTGCCTTTACCACTATTTATTGAACAATGTATATTTTCCATGAACAATGTATATTTTCCGAACAGCTCCGGAATAATCTGCTTCTACATATTTCTCGATGTAGCCCTTTGTCTCAATTCCATTTGTATTTTGGGTTTATTTCACCAAAAATAGACCGCATTTCACTTCTGTATATTTACTTATCTTCTTATGTGGTTCTGAGAATCGAATCTAGTGCCTCACACATGCTAGGCAAGTGCTCTACCGCCACAACCCCAGCCCTGTCCACTTCTTTTTGAGACAGAGTCTTACTAAATTGCCCAGTCTGGCCTCTAATTTGAGATCCTCCTGCCTCAGCCTCCCAAGTAACTGGGATTATGGTGTGCCACCATGCTTTGCCTGCCCCAAGGTTTAAAGTATACCATCCCAAGATTTGACATACCTGCAACTTAGGGAAGAAATGCAAGTCTCCCAGGTTTATAGAAAAGTGATTTGTGCAAGGTGTCACCAAACAAGAAGGGGTCACAACTGTAATCAGAAACCAGATATCTATCATTCCACCTAGTTCTTCCATCTTTCTACCACACCGGGTTAGGAGAGCTGAGAGGCTTTGAGTAAAGGGAACAGGCAGGATATACTTTCCTTTACTCCTCCACAACTAAAAGTTCTCAAAGTCCTCTTGATTCTGCTCTCCTTTTTCCTTTCTCTTCCCCTCCCATCTTCTTTCTTTTCTGTCTTTCTTTTTCCATACAGGGGATTGAACCTAGGCAAATGGTTTTCCAATGCTAGGCAAGTGCTCTATCACTGAGGTATATACATCCCACCCCTTTCCAGTTTCTTGTGGTGCGGGAGATTGAACCCAGGGTGTTGTGCATGCAAGGCAAGCACCCTACCAACTGAAGTGTATCTCCAGCCTTCCCAGTTTCTTTTTAACACTGCCCACTTCCTGGTGCCAACAACACTCTGAGACTTCCCCTCTTCCCAGGAAGTAGCAATAGCCTTGACCTTCATTATTGGGGCAGAGCAAAGGAGAAAAGGCATTGGGTCCTTTTCTAAGACCTCACTCGGGAAGTCCCCTGGTGCACTCCTGTAATCCCTGCGCTAGGAAGGCTGAGACAGAAGGATCTCAAATTAGAAGCCATACTGGGCAATTTAGCCAGCCTCATCAAAAAGCGAGGCACTACACATCTCGCATGCACAAGGCCCTGAGTTCAATTCCCAGCACCACCAAAAAAAAAAAGGGCTGGGTATGTGGCTCAGTGGTCGAAAGCCCCTGAGTTTAATCCCGGGTAACACCCTCCTCTTAGAAAATTCTCTTTTCCTT